TCAATCAATTAGGTGTGGAATTCAACTTTTATATATTATATAGATAAGTGCAATCAAAGTTCGTAGAATAAATTTATGATCAAAATAATCCAGATATTAAAATTACGTAATCATATTGTATTCTAGAATATGATTTAATGTAATTTTTACCTAATTAAGATCAAATATTAGAAATTATAAAACTTAAAATTGTAGATATTTTCATATCCTTTCTAATGAAATTTCAATCCGTGTGGTCAGAATTCGTATAATAAAGTTATAACTAAAATAATTCAGACAACAAAATTGCGTAAATTTACTTTTGTATCCGTGATTATCAAAGAAATATTTGGACTCGATATTAAATTTGATCCCAAAAGCCCAATGAATATTTTTACCAGCTCAATTTTTCAGCACATGTTAATTCCGTTTGATGCAAAATTAAAAGCTCAAACTATTCATCCCTTAAAAAGAGGGTTAAATTCAGTTTACACCTCCAAAGTATACCATCTGTAACACTTATTCACCTAAAGTATTATTTGTAACATTTATCCACTCAAGCTCAATTTAATTTGTATGTTAGATCCTAATACATTAATTTTTTTATTTTCATTTAAAGAAATAACTAAAAGAATAATTAAATTATACAAATAAAAATATCTACTGAAAAATACAATTTTTAAAAAATAAAAAATATTATCTTGTGTTGGGTAGATATTTAATAAATAACATCTAATTGTTATTGGAACAATTAATCAAATATATTCATATCGATAAATTTTAAGAAATCAATACATAACTAATAGTAATCTCAAGTATTCAAATATATTTTAGTTCATTAATTTCACAAATTATATTTCCATTCTTTATTTATACAATATATATTACTTTTTATTTTTTTTCCAATACATTTAATTTTTTTAGGTACTTCTGATTTTTTTATGATCCAATAATTATTAGATTGTTATGTTTATTAGTTTTTAAATTTTAAAATATAAAATAATTGATATTGAGGAGGTAAGTGTTACAAATGATACTTTAGGGGATAAGTGTTAGGTAGACTATATTTTAGAGGTGCAAAGTGTATTTAACTCTTATATTTTTTTATTTTGTTTTAGAGGAGGGTAATTTTATTCTCGTTACTCGTGATTATTACCAATTCAACAATTATTAATGACTTGAAAATATTAACTAATATTTTCAGTAAATATTTTCACATATCACTGATTAGTTGTATTATATTTTATCATTTTAACGGCCCGTCTCTAATTTGCACCTTTGGATAAAATCTCTAAATTTTGAGACCCTTTAGAACCACATTGGTCTTGCTTTTTTTTAGAATTCTCTAAATTATGGATGCTCATGGAGTAGTTATTTAGAGATGCTCTTACAAAACTTCGTAATTCTCTAAATTCGATATACTGTTGATGTCAAATTTTTGGGTTCTTTTTTTCGACGCGTAAGTGTCAATTTTTAACATAGTTTTTCGACACCTTGGTGTCGATTTTTACCAGTTTCAAATTTATTTATTTTTTCTCTTTTTTAAGGTTGAACAAAATGATGAATTAGCATTTTTGAAGCGTTGTTGGGCGTATTTAGGTCGCTCATGGTTGTGAGCGATGGGGCTGGCGGCGGAGCTTGAAAATGCGGGATGTCCTAATCTATGATGCCACCCAAATGTTGAAGTCCTTAAGCTAGAAAATGCAAGAATTGGAGTTGATACCGGCTACTCATAAACACCGTCTTTTACTCATAAACACCGTCTTTAGCTCTGTCTTTCAAGAGTGTTGCCCCCATGCGAAGTTCCTTCACAAGAAAATTGGATGGTAAGAATTCAATAGAAGCATTGTTGGTGTTACAGAATTGGAAAATGGAAATTAATTTTTTTTTCATGTGTGGGACACACAAAACATTATCTAACTGAAAGGTACTTGTATAAGTAGATAGGGATGTAGAACCAGTGTGTGTTATGGGAAGACCCGTGCCATCGCCAATCATAATGCCGTCTGAGCCATTGTATGGAGTGCACATTGAAACATTAGCAAGATCAGATGTGACATGGTGAGAGGCACCATTATCCAATAACCATGTTGGAGGAGGAGGATTTGTCGAATGTGCAGCATTATGTGTGCGGGGCTGCCACGGAGTCGTAGACTGATTTGTTGAGTGGTTGGATGATGTAACTGGAACAAGTCTGAACGAGGGACAATTTTTTGCAGTGTGTCTTTGTATCCGACTGATTTGACAATATCCCAAATATGGACGGAAAGATGGAGGGGTACTTTGATTTCCTGGAGCAGGCGGTTTGTCGCCGCTGGGTATTGGAAATCGGTTTGAGTTCCTTGCAGGAACTCGCCCAAAAGTATTTCTGCTAGTTGGATTCGCCGTAGCAGGAAAATAGGTCGATTGCGGTTTCAACATCAAAACTGAGGCCTCAAAGTTGAGAAACTTTTCATGAAGCTCCTCAAAGGTTATTGAGGTATCTCTGGCTTGAACAGCTCGAGCCAATTCTTTGAACTCATCGCCGAGTTTATCAAGGATTTTTTCTGTAAGTTCATCCTCATCAATTGGTGCTCCAAGTAGAGCAAGTTCATCGTCTTTTTCTTTAATGGACTGCAAAAACTCTGTCATACTTTCAGGGCCCTTTGTGATTTGCTTTAGTTGATTTTTGACCTGATTGATGCGTCCCCGAGATGGTTTAGCATATGTGTTGGTCAAGATATTCCAAGCATCGGCAGAAGTTTTGGCTTGTGCAATGAATGGGATTATTGAGGGAGAAATGGAACCAATGATGGCATTAAGTATTAATTGATCTTGTCTGATCCACAAGATATGAGCTGGATTTGGAGTTGTTGTAGTATTTTGGGTGAGGGTGGCTGGAGGACATGGTGTTGAACCATCAATATAGCCTAATAAATCGTACCAATGAAGAGGTTTTGAAATTGCAACTTCCGTGATATGTAGTTGGTGGAAGTAAGTTTAAGAGGGACTTGTGCAAGCACGTTAATGGTTATGAGGGTCTTGTTAGGATCATTACTGTTTTGGATGGTGGCCATAGTTTTTTTTTTCTTTTTTTCTTTTTTTTTTAAAGAAAGAAAGGGAAAAAAAATGGGGTGAAAGAAAGAAAAAAAATGACTGTTGTATCTTTAAAAGAAGATAATTGAGAAGATAATCGAGATTAGTTTTTACTTGTATACATATCCGTTGTAGTTAATGAGAATGTGAACAAAATACCCTTACTTGTTAAAAAAATAGAAAAATCTAAATGTGCAATACTAAAAACTCAAAAACACAAAAACCCTATCACAGAACCACAAGTCCATCTCTCACATTCTCCATCTTCCAAAACCCACAAAACCTTTCTCCTTCCTCCTCCATAAACCCACAAAACCTAAACATTCAAAATCTTCAAAACTCAACAAATCTTACAAAGTTGGCAAGTATGGAGTCAGAAGACATCAAAATAGAAGATTCTAAAGTGGAAGAACCCAAGAAGGTATGCATTTATGTGTTTTTTTAGCTAGAATATCGTTTTTCCAAAAAAAAAAACCGCACAGACGCGGTTGACATGTACAAGTCGAATTTGATAGGTAAAAATCGACACTGAGATATCGATTTTGTAGTAGCAAATTCGATATTTCACTATGTCAACTTTTCTGCTATAAACTCGACATCTCAGTGTCGATTTTTACCTAACAAATTCGACATACCGTTGATGTCGAATTTTTGGGTTCTTTTTTTCGACGCTTAAGTGTCGATTTCTAACATAGTTTTTCGACACCTTGGTGTCGATTTTTACCAGTTTCAAATTTATTTATGTTTCCTCTTTTTTTTTTTTAAGGTTGAACAAAATGAGGAATTAGCATTTATTAAGCATTGTTGAGCATATTTAGATCGCTCATGGTTGTGAGTGACAGGGCTGGCGGCGGAGTTTGGGCGGCGCTGCTGTGGCGTCGGGAAGGGTTTCACAGGAAGAGACTGGGTTTTCTTTTTTTTTTTTTAAATTTTTTTTTTGTGCATTATTTGTTATGTGGTCTTGCATGAGCAAACAAAAGCCAATTTAATTTATAGGTATATTTAGGGTTGCAAGTTGGAACGTATTTTCCAATTTCCGCCGGTTCCGATCCGAAAAGTTCCGATTTCGGAACAACTCTTTTCATTCCGACTTCCGAAATTCCGATTTCCGAAATTTTTCGATTTTTTTGGATTGGAATTGGAATTATATAAAATAAAATTGGAATTTCTGATTTCCGATCCGATTTAATTCCGAAAAATACACCTATAAATAGTATATATTATATAATACTTATTTTCCGAAAAATACACCTTTAAATTTTGTTTTAGGATTTTGACATAATGAATTGTTGTTAGAAGTTTTATTGGATATTATGCTGTGTTTATTTTTATTTATTTTTTTTGAACTGAAATTTAGTAGTTATTAGTTTTACTTTTATCGACGTGGATGCTCCTATTTTCGAAAAATTATGAACATTTAAGAAAATTTCGGCTAAATTTTGAAATTTTAAAGCTTATATGATTCCCGATTTTTTTCCGAAATTCCGAAATTTCCGGTCCTTTTGGAATTGGAATGAATTTTTAGATTTCGAAAATTTTGAAATTGGAATTGGAATTGATTTTGTACTTCCAAATTTTTTTGGAAATTTTCCGAAAAGGCTAATTCCGATTCAATCCATCTGACTTTCACTCCTATGTATATTTATCGTTTCATCTTAATAAAATAGAATATTTTGAAATCTTCCTTTAATTTAGCCTTACACAAGTGAAAATAGTATTGTATATAGCCGCAACCATTTTAATTTTAAAACTTTCATCTTAACAAAACATCAATACTTTTTTTTTTTTTTCTTGTACATAGTACTTATTTATTTTGACCAAGGTACTCTATTAGTATTTATTTCAAATGCGTAAGAAAATCAAATTAAGGAATAAGGTCGTCGAAACTTTAATTTAAAAAAATATTATAATCGATTTTAATTTTGAAACTTGTATCCCAACAAAACATCAATTCTAAGTTTGACCATTTTCTGGTTTTAGTGGTTCCCAGATGTGGCGGAGAAAGCAGTAAGTAGCCTTGTTCATCAAATCAGAACAATAATTAATAATGGGGTTTCTTTCTCACGGAGTAGAAAGAAGCGATTTAGTAACTGGGGATCACATCTACACTTGGAGGACTGCTTTCGCTTACTCTCATCATGGTTTTCTTTCTTCCATTCCTTCTTCTTCTTCTTCTTTTTTAATTAATTAATTAATGTTTATTATTCTCAATTTTAACATCTGATTATGATAATGATGATTCTGTCACGGATTTTTAGCATTCCTAATCAAATAGCCCTAAATTAAATCAACTGATGAATTGGAATTGTATGCCAATTACAACCAATTTCTGGACAATGCAGCATCATTTGCTGTGTTTTTTCATAATTACTATAAGTTTGGTATTGTATTTGTATCTGCTAATAAGCTTTGATATGAGTTTTTCACTTGACAATTGTTCTTATTATTCAACTAGGCATTTACGTGGGTGGAAACAAAGTGGTGCATTTCACTCAGGACCAACACTTGAGTTCGTCTCCTCACTCGACCTCCCAATGGTTGACATCGTCGTTTTCGAATATCCCAACAATAGCCTGTCTAGATATTCCAGACTGCGGTTTTAGAAAGCAAACGAGTGGAGGAGTAGTTATGTCTTGTTTGAATTGCTTTCTCGGAAACGGATTGTTGTCCCGTTTTGAGTATGGAGTTAGCCGTTTATCTTTTATTGCCAAGTTCAGAGGTGGCACTTGCACTACTGCTATTTCAGATTCTCCGGATTCCGTAACTCACAGGGCTATGTACTTGCTTCACAATGGGTTTGGGAATTACGATTTGTTTGCAAATAATTGTGAGGATTTTGCTTTGTATTGTAAAACGGGGTATCTCGTTCGAAGTGAAAAGGAAGAAGCTGTGGGAGGAAGTGGTCAAGCCTCGTCGGTTGTAGGTGCTCCTTTGGCTGCGATACTTTGTTTGCCGCTCCGTTTGCTTATTCCAAGTCCGGTTGTTGTTGTGACTGCGGCAGCTGCAACGTATTCGTTAAATAGGTACGCTACTGATATTGGGGTACGTGATGATGTCATCAAGGTCAAAGTAGAGAACATAGCTTTGTTCCATGGCTATCAACAACAACAACAACTTGATGGTGTTAATCAAGATTCTGATTTGGGTGACAAGCCACCCCAGAAGCGGCAAAGGCTTTCTTGATCGATGAGAATTCACTAAACTTGCTTCTTTATTTCATCCTCGCTCGCCTGACATTCGTTTTGCTTTGTTGAAAATGGATAATAATTTACTAATCGGTGTAAGAATCAATTTATTTTAATCTTTTCGATGCAAATGACTGCATTCTGGAATTTAATTTTAATTTGATTTGGACTTCCACTCCTCAAATTTAAATGCAATCTAATAGTTACTTTCTGTGTTCTGCAATGGACAAGTGGGTGTAGTGTAGCAGCTAGACATGGTAAAATGTCGTCCGATAATGCCCGCATATTTTTTTTCTCGATTGTACCATAATTAGATGGTAAAATGTCCGATCATGCACATTTCTGAAAGAAAAAAAAAAAGATCAAAAAAAAAAGTATTCATTAGCCAAATGAACCCCCATAAGATGCAACATCAGCACCTCTGTTAAAGAACATACATGCAGTTTAACATGGTTTTCTCAGTAAGAAGTATATTAATTGAACATATTTATTCGATCTAGGTCTTAGCTGCACTTATGATTTGCAAATTAAACTAGGAAACAAGGCCAATACAGTGTATCTCTCACAAGCAGGAATTGCTAAATTGTATGATAACTAGAGGAAGGCATGTTTAAAAAAGCAAGTTTGATATACTACAAGCTCTCGTGATCCTGGTTCGATCAATCTTCTGATTGATTACTTGAGCTCCACAAAAAGGCTGGCTTGTGGATGTAATCCTGCTTCTAAAAGGGACAAAGAGAATTTGTCTTGGCCATAAACAGTGCGAGGAAAGTTGGAGACGAGGCTGTATCCATCCACTTCTAAGCAACCTAATGAATCAACGTAGTCATACAGAGATTGTATTGTTGCTGTACAGTGAAATCTCCTCCCTTTGCGATCTCCAGATGGAAAACGAACCAATACCTGAATATTCGTTGTGTTATTATAACTTGAAATTAAATAGATTAGAGAAAAGAATGGAGAAAGTGGGGGTGGGGGGCTTACTTGAGTAACATCAGAGGCTTTGTCGGGTTCAGCACCTAATGACAAAGCTTTCTCCTCACGCAACTTAAGTAACGCAGCTTCTCTCTGAGCAGCTTCTTGGGCTGCTCTTTCGAGAGCCTCTTCTTCCTCCTTTCTTTTCCTCTCTGCTTCAGCAGCTTCATTTTCCAACCGCTCCTGCTCTTCTTTCAACTGCCGCTCCCGAGCCTTTTACACAACCATTGAAACAAAATTTCAAGTTGACATCATCACAAATAATGGCAACATTATTTATTATATATAGTGAATAATAGCATACTTGATCAGCCTCAAGTGCTGCTCGATAAGCAGCATCTTGTTCCTCTCTCAGTCGCATATTGGTTCTTCTTTCTTCAGCTTCAATCCTCGCTGTAACAAGAACAGGAGCACTTTCTTCAAGCACTCTCTGCAATATTCTTACCATTTCCTCTGCGGATTTTGGTCCTTCAACCTGAACAATTAAATTGCAGTCAAACCACAGTAACAGAGTATTAACTTAACGTCCAGTTTGTTAATGACATCAAAGTAACATCACAATAAATTGTAGAATGAAACTCAACATGGAAGATCGATAATGTTAGTTAAGGTTAAAGTCCTTCGGTACATCTCCACTTTTCATTCAGTTTTTTTTCTTGACAAAGTGCATGAAGAAATAACATTCTCGTCCAGAGTTTATTCATTAGATCTTTTAGTTTCAGTTAGTTAAAAGTTTTGGAATAAAACACACCTGCATATTTCACTAATGCTATTGAATAATATGGAAACAAGACAACTGGACTGCTTTTCAAATTCAAACCTTGATGCACCATTCTGAAACAAAATGAAAGGGCAGAACTGAATTTGGCAGCAAGTCAGTGCAAATAATATAATTTTAGTTAATTCCCTCTCAAACAAATGACACATCAGCCAGAAAAAAAGAATATTTTCTTTTAATCAACCATTTATAGTTTTCAGCAACTAATTACAGCATTAAACAGAAAGCTGTTATATTAAATAAAAAAACACCAATAAGGCCAACTGGAAAAGATAAAGATAGAATAGACCTCATAAGGCAATTAAGGAAAACAAACAGATTAAAAGACATCACAAACAATCTTCTCTTTATCTATGCAACAATCCATAATATAGAAAGTAGAAACATTCATCGAGTGAAAGATCTATCATACTTAAAAAATGAAAAAGAACAGAATCATGTTAAAATAAATCGATTCATTTCGCCCATCAATAAAATCAGAGAAGTACAGCAAAAGGGAGGTCCCACCCAGGGAAAAAAAGAAATGAAGTAAAAAAGTCAGAGGAGAAATGTGCAGAAACTAAATGACCTTAAATAGTACAAATACTAGTACCTGAAAAATGATCTCTTGCAGAATTCACTGTACAAGGATCCAGATATACCCCCCCCCCAAAAAAAAAAAAAAAAAAGAATAAATATAATAAGTGAGAGTACAAATATGAGGTAATGGTGCCAGATAACAAAGTGTTTTCTGGAAGATATACTGCATAAAAAATCTATACAAAAAGCTAACATACATGGAATGTAGAAGGAACTATTGAGATAAGTCATGGTGTATTTCTTTCTAGCTCTTTGTAAATTTTTGAAGGGTAACTAGAAGAACGAACTCTATGATCCACCATGTAAAAGCACATTGCTCTATTTCAACAGTTTGCCTAACCAAAATCTATTCACGAGTATCCAACAAAGAGATCCCACAAAATCCAGACTCACTTCAGTTAAAAGTCTTTTTCATGCCTTCCCTTCCATTAATTCTCCAATCTGTTAACCATTTTTCACAGTTACTATCATAAACTTAAGCAAACGTGATCGATCTATAAATCATCCGATTAGCATAAATGTTCTGTGGTTCACAAAACAAGACTGTACCCTAAATAAATAAAAGTCTAGATGAACTAGCCAAGTCATGCAAAGATATACACCCAAGAATTTTGCCACAAAAAAGTAACTAAAGCTATATCCTGTTAACAGTTTATAATCACAACACCAACAGCATTTACAAGCCAATTCATTGACTCCTGGGGCAGTAAAATATGGAAGTAAAATTTAAACAAAAGATAGAAGCATATAGTTCTTCATATATAAATGGCACCTTAACAGACAGCCTATTAGAGAATCAAGGTTTGTTTAGAACAAAATATTTCACCACACATAAGGCACTCTAAGAGCAGACATTCTCTTTGGAGCTAAGTTAGAAAAAATCAGCTTCCATCCAAGGAACTGAAGATTTACAAGGCCTTTTTTGCAGTTTGCAGAGTTTTTTAGACATAATTTAGATTATAGGATACTCAAGCTATTCCAAATACTCATCTTAATACCAGAGCTGCAACATCAGAAACGACGAGAACCACAGATCCAAATTTCCCTGAATAGTGGAAATAAGATATTCCTCTCTGTAACAAATTCCCCTAAGCCAATCTCTCTCTCTCTTTCAATAAGATCCTGGAAGCATCTTCACACAGGACCTCATCTTTACACACTTTAAAAGAAGGACGAGACATAATCCAAGGTGAAGCAGGAGCTGCCACTGAAATAGTTTTATCTTTCACACCAATACAAACCAAAAGAGCATCGTTTACGTCCGATCTTCCAAATAGCTCAAATAGGGGAGTCAAAGCTAACTAAGGATAAAGCCGCAATCTAAATATTTTATACAAGTCCCTCAAAATAAAGGAAAAACTTGCATATGACACATACAAACTATAGGTATAGTTGCAGTACCTAGTGAACACATATTGATGACACTTGCAAGATGATTAAACCAGCTCTCGTTAAATATGAAGGCACGGGATTGAGAAGATAAAACTCTTGTCAGTAGTCACTCTAAAGAAAATACCCAAACACCAATATTCATTGAACTTCAAACATTTAGTAGCAACATAACTTCTCACTAAAAAAATGCAGCTGTTCCTGTAGCTTGTTATTCACAGTAGTACATGGAAACAGAATATCCAGACTTCTCTTTACTACTAGCCCACCATTTTTTACTTCAACCCATATTAGTGCAGACTGTGCAGTAATACAGAGTAACAAACGACATAGCTAGTGAACAAGATAATAGAATAACTTATACCTGTTGCAGCAATGCGATCCGCTGGTTCGTTGCAGCCATAACAACAGCACAGAAGGGAAATCTCGATGCCTTCAAACTATTACTCATCTTAAACCCTTCACTAGCCTTAACACTCCCACCCCATGCCACAAAATTCTCGTTCAAGAACGACGCCAGCATCTCACTACACAAAGTCCGTCCACAAAAACCCGAAGTATCGGGATGCTCTGGTGAATGCAAGTAAACAAACATCAGCTTATATTCCTGTCGAGACCTCTGCAATACGTCCATGAAACCCTCGGTAAGAAAATTAGGCCCCAAAGTTCCATAATCCCTCTGAAAACTAGACACAAAATCGACTGCCTCGGCTGCTGACTGTGACACTGAGACCAAAGGTGCGGTTCCAGACCTCGCCTGGGTATTCAGGCCAACTACGCTAAGGGAATATGACAAAACGCCGCCTGCTGCCCACATACCAAATCCAATTACCCCAGAAATTAACCCTAGGCTGGTGGAGATGATGGAGAAGGGGAGGGTAATTAATTTCCAAGCGAGACCTGGGGTTTGATTGTTGACGTTTGGGGGTAAGACGAGCCCTACATCATGAATTTCTTGATTCGTCCTCGTGTTAATGGCGGCGGCGGAGGAGGAGGAGGGGTGGTGGTGGTTCGCGTCGGTGGTGATAGAAGAGATGGCTAATTCGAGGTCCCAATTGTGAGCGGAGAGAATTTCAGTGCACAAATCAGCGTCTTCGAGACCCGTAATTGCTTGAAAATACGCCAATTTATCAGCCACATCCCCCATTTTCTTCAACACAAGCGTGCGTTCAAGTGCTGGAATTAGGGTTTAGTAATTCGATTTGAGATTTCGATCCAAGGTCAGAGGAAGAAGAAGGGGGTTTCTTCTGTTCAATCGAAAGAAAGAAAGAGAGAAAATGGGTTTCGTTTGGGGAGAATGAGTTCTATGGCCAATGGTGTGAGAGATCAGGCAATCTCATTAATGCCACCGCCAATTACGATTATTCACGAGAATGCCATTGGCTTTGATTTTCCTTTTATGTCGACTACTACCACTCTGACCCGCTCAAATCATTAGTCAAACGGGTTCTTTTTAGGATGGATCAATTAGGTCGTTACTAAATTCCGTCTTCATAGTGATAGGTGTCTAATTTTTTTATTTTTTTTCAATTATAGTCCATGGTTTTAATCTTCATTTAAAATAAGTATTTCACAATGCGTTGTACGGAGGTCAGTTCCGTAATGAGAAAAATAATAATATATAAATGACTATCTCTTTATAGCAACATCAATTCACGTAAAACAAAATGAAAGGAAATAAAAAAAATAAAAATAAAAAACATAAATTTTATCTCTTAATTCAGAGTTGTAACATATGAGACTCAATTAAATATAAGAAAACGCGAAACGCGCAAAACGCGATATGAAGAGTAAGTGAAATCACTTAAAACATATGGTATAACTCTATTTCATTGAATGCAATCAAATCTACTACACCATGTGAATCTTCTGCAAAATAATAGACTTACAACAAACACGATAGTAGAGAAGTAACATAATAGAGATTCAAATAACCTGCAAGTTTATCACTAACGGCGTTCAGTTAGTGATGCAAACAACAATACAACTTATAAATATTGCAAAATAGATGAGATGTATACGCCACTACCTTGACAAAACGATGTGTTGAACATGAAAGGAAGCATACCACATATTACTAATACTAATATTAATACTAACACTACTACTAATAGTAATCATAATCCTAATACTATTACTAACCACTAATCGTAATCCTACTAGGCGGTGGTCCTTCGGCGGCGGATGGGCCGCAGCAGTTCTTCTCACCTTGTATTCTTCTCTTCTCCCTCTAGAGCGATCCCTCTCGTTTCTCAATTTCTTTTTTTTTTTTGGTCTTGCAATAGTAATTAGGTCTAACTTGAATGAATAATATCAAAATCAATATTGGGGTTATATTCGTAATTTTCAATCTTGTTCTTAGTAAGTTTATTTATATTACGGTCTTTCAACAGATAATGTCTTGCCCTTAGAAGATTTGAGATTGCAAATATTTGACGCCTATACATGAAGCTCAAAAGGTTGCAAATAGAAGAAAAATAGGGAGAGAACTCGAGTTGTGGAAAAAATAAATAGATCGAATCTTTTGAATTTGGATGAGAGAATTTATCATCAATACAAACAACATGAAATTGGTAGAAGCTTGAGGTAGAATTATGTTCTATAAGAAGAGATTTATAGATCATGAATTGTTTTTCAACATGTTGTACTAATAAGTTGTTTTAAGAACGGATTACTAGGTTTTTTTTATATAGGATCTTATCAGCTCTCAAATTGCTTATTTTTTTTAATTTTAGAGATCTATTAGAAACAAAAATTATCAAACAGTTTTTAAATTTTATAAGATTGTATAAGTTTAGCCAAACTCCCTCCAATTTTTCGATAGAGATCTATAACAACAAATTAGGCGACCAACTTAGTCGACTATTATATTTAGTTGACTGATATGGCCAGCTGATATGATCGAATAAAATTTTGAAGAAGAACAATTACAAATGCCAACAATATTAGTAGATGACTCAACTAAATTTTTCGAGACAAAGAGTACAATAAATTAGTCGACATACTTAGTCGATCAATACAAATTAAGGGGGTACGGTTTAAGCACATAAAAAGCGTATATAAGTCTAATAAAATTGGTTTAGGAGTTCCCTATAGTTTCCCCTATAATTTTTTCTTTAGTTACAACAACAATATCTCTATCTTAATTTTTTAACTATAAATTAAATTCATCCCAAATGTACTTATATTAAGGTATTAATCTTATGAACCTGAGTATATTAAAGTGGGCTTCACATTCAAAAAATATATTTTGCAAATTAATTGACAATAGTTTTAAAAAGCCTCATAAAATATAGAATGTTTAATACATTAATGTAAAAATAGTCTATTAATAATATATCGAGTACTCTACTAAAATTAATTACAAATCATCATTAGTCCCCTATCACAACAATTGATAAGTGGCCTCATGCAATGATCTTTATTTATGAGGAGGGGAATCTAACATCTACATAACATAGATGCATTAATAACCATTATGAAATATATAAAAATGGGTAAATTACAACCACCCCCTTAGGTATGGTCAATTTACGAAAAAACCCCTCTTGTTTGGATAATTACATCGACCCCTCAACTATGATTTTTTCTTACACTACCACCATTATGGTGTCAAATTCAACACAATCATCTAGATTTCGTCGAATGTGCTTTAGTTTGTACTCATTTTGTGTAAAAATACAGTTTCTGATGCACCACAATCTGATATATACAAGCCAAAAAATACATATTATGATCATCTTGCTTCAAAATGTGGAGTTCGAATGGAATAAAACGGTACAAAAGTGATAATATTCCATATAATCTCGAAGATTGCACTAAATTTGAAACCGCAAGGGTGGACGTGTAAAAAGATTTATAGTTGAGGGTATGGTTGTAATTGCCCAATCAGGAGGGGAGTTTTCGTACTTTAACCATACCTCACGGTTGGTTGTAATTTACCCTATATAAAAATGAAAACATTAATATGAAGAAAGGAGCGGCTAGGCTGGGTGTTGAAATACTCTCTAGCGTGCATTAATTCATAGAGTGATGCAGAAGTACTTCAATAATGATTCAGTTGTAAATTTAGATATATTTCAATCGCCGTTTCCAATTTTGCATATTGAAGATCTTTGGTAACTAGATTTGGAAACGAGAAATGAACCATCAACTGCAGCCGCGCGCACTCATTTACATTTCTCTGGAAGTCTTGGATTATTCATCTTCTTTTTCAATAAAACCCTTTAATGTTCTACCATAATTTCCTATAAACATCTTTTTTCTTCATGATGTGGGATAGGATATATAAAATCTCTAATTAATATTAAACTAAATTTAATTTCAAGACTACACCAAGAAGTGGGATAGGATCTATAAAATCTCTAATTAATATTAAACTAAATTTAATTTCAAGACTACACCAAGAAGAACTCTCTTAATAGTTTTTCGGACTTAGAGGCTATTTGATTCAGAGTATTTTAAACATCTGATATTTATTTCATTTGATAAGTTGTTACTTTTTATTTTTTAAATCATTTTTTAAATCATTTTTTAAAGTGTTTCGATATTAAGCTTATAAATTATTTTAACTAGTGTTTATATATAAAAGAAAGCTTTGCCCCGAAATACTATTAAAACAGTTTTTTTTTTTTTTTTTTTTTTTTTAAATACTAGCATATTTCAACTTATTTTACTTATTATCAAAGTTTAAATTCAATAAATTATGATCCCCTTCAAGATGGAATCTCCGTTGGCGTCCGTAGCAAAAATTGTATTTGTTTCGGAAGAGTAGACGACTCCGGGACATTGAAGGAGTCGTTTGAATGTATTGTCACGAGTTTCAACTTTTTCCCAACTTCTGCATGCATAAGTGGTAACTAAACTCCACCCACATTGTTTTCTAATAACATGTTTCACAATAAACACAACATATAAGTTAGGTTACCTCGTTCAAACTTGCCAAGGTTTGATTCGGAAACTAGGAGGTCGTCGATAAAACAATTATCAACATTCTCATTCTAGTCTAGCTTGTGAATTATGTCCTCCTCACTCGGTTTGTTGAAAGAAATAATTTGCATTCTCGAAGTTTGGATATAATTGTTATTTTCGGTGCATAACAATGGCCGGTGATTTTAGCAAAATGGTCGAGGCAAGAACTCAGTTTTTTGTCCTTAAGACATTATTGTCTCGCACTGGTGCTCACAGTTTTGTAGCAATTGTCTCTCAAGATACAACGACTTTATTTCGATATTGTCACACTACAAAATCTCGAAATCTACGAACTCTCAAATGTGTTTTTAAACTCTCAATAAGAATACAGAAGAAAATATTCACAAAGAATATTCGTGCTAAAGAAAAAAGAACTCCAACGAACAAATATGGAATAGAGTTAAAATCCAGTGATGCAAATGGTGATTCAAGGATCTATTTATAGATTCTCAATAGTTGTGGCCAACAATAACAACTCTTAGGAAAATGATTCATGAAAAGGTATCACACTCTTTCATATTAATCAAACACATCTTTGATTTTGAATGGGTGTCTAAACACCTCCATACTTTTAAGATGACTTTTTACCTATTTTTTTCCACAAATAAATATATTAAGTGATTTATTAATTTCTCATTCACCAACAAATGATTTTGAGAAAATAAATGTAATCCAATTAAATATTATGTAACTCAAATTTTCAACAATGCCCCACGTGAATCAAAATTAATGAAATAATGACGATAGATTCTATTGAGAGTTCAAATGAAAAGATATTGCATGGGGCGAGGTAGCTTTCACTTTAAACCTTCCTTAGTGGTTTACAATCAGTTTTACTTGGCTAATTAGCAAACGCAATGTCTTGAACTATTATGTCGTTTGTGTAAACTAAGACAGTTGTATCCACACAATACTTTCCAACATTCATTTTGGCCATGGCACACAATCTTGGATTGATAAGTGTTTGTCATTTTGAAGCGGCCCTCACTTCAGACTTACATAGGTGGTCTCCTAGTAAGGGTATCCATCTTCTCGAGTCTTCGTTCGATTCACGCTTCAAGTGTAAAATCTTGTTATCCCTAATTAATATATATTAATTAATTTATATTAATTTAGATTAATGTATGTTAATTAATTATCGAATCACATGAATCTATATGTTCGATAATTTGTTTATGTGAATCGTTCGTTGAGCATGTTTATTATTTGATTTTAATTTTATGTGCATGCTAGTTGATTTAAATTATGCAATTTAATTTAAATTATTGCGACCATATATGTGGTGATTGCAAGAAATCAGGTACGTAATTAATTGCAATTATGTGCACGTGTTTATTTATATAAATTAGTTTGTATAAATGAAATATAATTTTAAATTCCGCTGGGAACACGTGCTTGATTTTGAACATTATGTTGATGACATACTACTCACTGGGAATGATGTAGGAATGTTACAGTTAACTAAAGTATGGTGATCCACTCGTTTCTCAAAGAAGGATATCGGAGAAGCATCCTGCGTATTAGGAATACGGATCTACAGAGATAGAGAAAGGAGGCTTGGATTATCCCAATCCTAGTACATATAGACACCGTTATGAAACGATTTAGTATGGAAGAATCTAAGAAAGGATTCTTGCCTATGTTTTATGGAGTGTCTCTTTCCAAGACCATGTGTCCCAAAATACAAGAGGAAATGGAAGAGATGTGAAGGATACCATATGTTTACGCCATATGAAGTATTATGTATGGCATGTTATGTACTAGACCCGATATTACTTTTGCAGTTAGTGCAACAAGAAGATATCAGTCAGACCCGACCAAGATCATTGGAAGGCTGTGAAAGACATCCTTAAATACTTACGAAGAACTAAGGAATTGTTCATGGTTTATAGTGACTTTAGTTTTCAATCGGATAAGGATGACTCAAAGTCCACTTCGGGATTTATATTCATGCTAAATGGCGGTGTCGTGTGTTTGAAGAGTTCCAAGGAAAATACGATGGCGGATAGACTAAAGATGAATTTATTGCAGCGTCAGAAGCTACAAAAGAGGTTGTTTGGATAAGGAACTTCGTCCAAGAGTTTCATAATTTGAGTAATAAGCGGATAAGGACAAATTAGGTATATTAGGTGGTAATTTTTTTAATTATTAATTAATTAAACAAATAAAGGGTTTCACTAATAAAGTAAATGGTCAAATTACGAAAATCTCCCTCTTGTTTGGGTAATTACAACCACCCCTCAACTATAAAATTTAGTGGAATCTTCTAGACTATATGGAATATTATCACTTTGTACCCGTTTTATCCCGTTCGAACTGCATATTTTGAAGCAAGATGATCATAATATGTGTTTTTTGGCTTGTATATATCAGATTGTGGTGCATCAGAAACTGTATTTTTACACAAAACGAGTACAAACTAGAGCACATTCCACGAAAACCCAGATGATTATGTTGAATTTGACACCATAAGGGTGAATGTGTAAGAAAAAAAATCATAGTTGAAGGGGGTAGATGTAATTATCCAAACAAAAAGGTTGTTTTTCGTAAATTGACCATACCTCATGGGTTGTTGTAATTTACCCTAAAGTAAAAAGAGGTGGATCCACCCTTGTTATACCCAATGTGTTTGGGAGATTTTCACTAATAATCCCTATATTTAATAAGAAGCAATCGCTTAATTAAACACAAGAAACATTTTTGTTATGAAAAAAAATATTTTGGACAAGACTCTGTAAATTAGCACTCCCAATGTTTACATAACTGATATTGCATGCATACACTGAACCTTGTCTAACAGTGCTAGTTAGTATTCCATAATTAATAAAGTATATGTAGGAAATATTTTCATTATAATGTATTATATTATTATAATATACTCTCTCCGTCCCAATTTAAATGACGTTTTGGGTTGTTGCACGCATATTAAGAAATTCAATAAATGTGTATAGATTATAGTGAAAAGCATAGGAAAATACTAATATATCCTTGACATTAATTATTTTACAACTAACTAATTATGAGTGATAAAGGGTAAAATTGAAAATAGTGCAATTAATGATGCATTGAAAATGTAAAATGACAAATAATTTGGGACAAAAAAAACTCTCTAAAAAGACAGATAATATGGGACAGATGGAGTAATGTAAAGATTCTAACATTCGGCCTTGTACCGAAAATTGAAAGACTTCATTTTATTTATGGGATTATTTTAGGGACGCCTCATATGCAAATTATATATAACTAATCATCAAGGGGATTGCATCCCCCCTCTTTTATTATAATAATTTGATATACCCCTTTGGACCAATTTGAAGTATCTAAATTGCTCCTTTAAATCAGTTTTAAACCCTAGCCAACTCATATCGGTCTCTCTCTTCATCTCTCAACTGTCTGATCTAAATCCCGCCCTCAAGGTCTCTAATCGACAATGTTGATTCCCGGAGTCATAACTCTCTCTTCAGTGGTCGGAATTCGATGGTTTGACTACCTTTGAATGTGTCTCGTCGAGCTCTTTCTTTTGGTTGTGATTTCATTCAGTTTGGAGCGTTGGATCTGTTTATGCAATTATTTTTTAGTCGTCACGTATTTCGACGACGGTGAATCTTTCCGGAGGAGTAATTTGTGTTCCGGCAGTCGGAATTCGAGGGCCTACCCACCGTTGGATACCTCTCGCCGAGATTTGTATTTTTATGGCAAGTCGTTCATTTTTTTATTGTAAACTTGGTTATGTAATTTTTTTTTCATTTGCAAGCGCGGAACCTTGGGTGGTTGGCGGCGGCTTGGATTTTTGTAGGAGGCGTTTGGGGTGAAGAGTCATTGACAGTTTGGCCTAAAATTCATAGTATTTCGCAGCTATGGCATCCCTCTCTCTCTATTTCTTGATCTCTTGTGGTTGTTGATATTTGAGTGTTTTGATGTTTCTTTAATTTTTGTTGATTTGCACTATTTTTTTTTTTTTTTTTTTTGCTTTGATTTTGCAATTGCAGCGTAATGGAAGCCATTGATCATCTCCTTGAAGGTGTAAAAAAATTTGGTTGAAGTTACATATACTTCAAGTTATAGTGTTCAACAGACTGTATACATTACTGTACATTACTTGTTACACATAGTAACTTACATATGCATTTATGTATTTCCGATTTGTCTTTGTTGGTTATGAGGTGATTTATAATATAAATATTGAAATTGTAAATTTTTGTTGTTGGGGTTTATGAATTTCATTTGAATAAGTCAATATTCGTGTATGTACACAATTGGTCGACTAAAAATTTGGGGTAAAAAGAAAGAATATAACTACGAATGACAATAGTTTACTATAGTTACATGTTGTTATTTTCAGTACAGTAAACATATATATATATATATATATATATATTAATAAAAAAAAAAAAAATAAATAAATAAATCAGTGAAAATGTTAAATACATGCCAAAAATGCTGAATGCAGTTTGAACAAAAATTGTACAGAAGATCATTATAGTACTTTCGCCTGGGTTAATTAATTCCTAATTAATTAGGCACGTAGGGGTTTATATAAAACAAGCACTTTATTTATTGATTTGAGTAAAGAATAATTAAGAAAACAAGGAAATACTGAGTGTAACATGAAAGAAGACAATACTTATACAGAACAATGAAAAGGTAAATCTAAAGAAACATAGAAATCAAATCAAATAATGAAGAACAAAAAAAAATGTTACACAAAAACAAATGAATAAGCATGGAATAATAATTAGTTAAGCCTTTAAGGGCGGCCGTGAGCACGAAGCTGTTGGTCTCGAATCATATCTTCGGACAGACCCCATTCTTGAAGCTGATGAAGATGGTGATGAAAAGAAAGACTGTATTCTCCGTTGAAACCAAGCTCAAGGACTCTATATTCGCAGTTTGTTGGATTCGTTAGGTTCTCGAATTGGTCAACTGTCCAGTTAAACCATTTCATTAGAAACAGAAGAATAGTCAACCCATGGGACACCACTATCAAGCTCACCTCCTCCTCATCTCCCCCATTATTATTATTATTATTACTAATCATGCTCATCAATTTGTTACTTTCCATGTCCCTCCACATTCCTTCAACAAATGCTGCAATATTTTCAAATTTTCTGATTATTAATTATTTCATATACAATATCTAAACACATTATTTCATGTGTGTGTATATATATATATATATACTCCCTCTGCTCTGAATTAATCGTCGTTCTTTGCTTTGCACAAGTATTAAGAATTTCAATAAATGTGTCTTGATTTAGAAAAAATGCATTAAAAAGACTAAAATAATCTTGATGATTTAGGTGGTGTTTGCAAAAGCTTTTAGAAATAGATTATGGGTTTTTTTATGCACATAATCTGTTTTTAGGTGTTTGCAAAACAAACTTTTGTTTTTGTTGATCTGAAAATAAGTTGTTTTAAGCTAAAATTTTAAAAGCACCCATGTACCTGTTTTTTCTATTTTAGTTAATTTTTTAGTTAATTTGCAAACACCCCCAACTTTTAGAAATAAACACTTAATCCCAACCTAACTCACAATCACTTAATTCCGTATTGAAAATTTAAAGTGACAGATAATATGAAACAAAATATTTTAAAAAAGAGACAGTTATTATGGAACATATGGAGTATTAAATAGTGGAAATTAACTTACTAGAAACTCTGTCGTAAACATCGGCACTTGATTCACCGTCAGGGACTCGGTAGAAGAATTTGCCGTAGTTGTTCCGTTTGCACTTAATCTTCCTCCTCGCCTCTATCTCCTGATAATTCCCAAAATGCTGCTCCCTCAGCCTGCACTCTTCCCTCACTCCAACCACTCTCTCTCTAGGAAAATTAGTGCTCTCTATCATGTGTTCCGTTGTTTCCCTTGTTCTATTCGAAGGCGAAACGTAGAAAAACATTTTCGACCCTTTATTTTCGGAAACGATTTCCTTTATTTTCGACCCTATTTGCTGAGCCTGATGGATCCCTTTTTTGCTTAACTTGATCTTGTAATTGGGTACGTATTCAAGAACAGCTTCGTTCTCATTCCCTTCGCTTTCCCCATGCCGCACGAGTATTATGCGCTTTGGCAGTTGCGATTTCTCTATCGGTTTTGTCATCATAATTTAGTCGTTACTCGAAAACAAGTTTGTAATAGATGGATGATTATCGATGTTGGTGAAAGGAAAATGTGATCAGCAAATTGTAAAAAGATGTAGTAGATTATATATTGTTGGAAGTTGATGTACTGAGGTGTTTGATGAATGAGTTTTGTTGTTTATCAAGGGGGACTAATGTGTCTATTTATACTTTTTTTTTCCTTTGTTTATTTATTATGTAGTTTGTTCACTTTCAAAGGAGGACTATTGCTTCTTTTACGGTGCAACTAAACTTTGAATTGACAGTTTGACACTCTTGTTACCCCTCCAAAACGTAATAAATAGCATGTTATTCAGAATTTTGACCATGTTTTGACCGACACACTCTACCGACAAACGCGTGGAAGACGGGTATTAGTTTTAGTGGGAAAGTAAAATTCAAACTGCATTTTATCATTTTATTATGCATTTAATATCTTATTTTTTCATCTAATAATATATTTTATTTTATTTTTACCAACTTGGTCATCTTTATTTTTTCGTTTTTGACTCTAGCATTTTTTACTTTATTATAAGTAACTTTTTTTTGAACATTTCATTGAAAATTACATTTTTTTTTTCATTTTTGTCAAATAATGCAGCAGATTTTAAAAATCATATGGTGCACTATGGTATACTATAGTATGCTATGATATGGTATACTATGGTATTCTACGGTATACTATGGTGTACTATTCCGAACTCTATCATTCAATAACTCCCAACCGTCGTCAAACCCTAACTTCCAACATCTTCCAGCCACTGTTAAATCATAGCAGCCAACAAATTTCAGCCGCCGCCAAACCCTATCTGCAAAAACATAGTCGTCCACCAACCCTAGCCGCCGACTGAATCAAACCCTAGCCATCGATCATATTAAACCCTAGCCGCCATAGCCGTCCACTAAATTAAACCCTAGACATCGACCAAATTAAACCCTAGCCGCCATAGCTGGCGACCAAATTAAACCCTAGCCGTCGATCAAATTAAACCCTAGTCGTCGACCAAATTAAAACCTTGCCGCCACCATCCGCCATAGATCTGACCTCCACCACCATAGTCGTCGTCGTCTTCTGCCTCCATAACCATCCCCTTATTGTCGCCGTCTCCACCGCCATAGTTGTGCATGATGGAGAGGGAGAGCGAGAGAAAGAGAGAGAGATCGAAAGAGAGAGGGAGAGAGAGATATATAGCGAAAACCAGAGAAAGAGAGAGAGATATAGCGCGTACAGTGAGAGAGAGCAGAGACAACGACCGAGAAAGAGAGAAGAGGGAAGAAACAAGAAAAACAGATCTGAGAGAAACGTGACTGTAGAATTTATGAATTTAGGTTGAGGACAAATTTGGAATTAAAAAAAGTAAAGGATGTGGGTCATATTTATTTTTATAAAAAAGATTTAGTTCAGAAAAAAATATTAGGGTTGTATCCCACATTTAAGTATATTTCCAATTATGGACCTCTAGCATATTAATTATAATTAATATTTATATGAAAATACTATTTTAGAAAATTATCGAGCAAATCCCCCATAACACTCTCCTCTCTCTCCTTCCCCCCCCCCCCCCCCCCCCCCTTCTCACTCTCCTCTCTCCCATCTCTCACATCTATTTCTCTCTCTTCTCTACGCATCTCTCTCTCATATACACCTGTATCCCTCTCTCCCCTACTCTTCATTTCTTATTTTTTTAATTATACTTTATAATTTATTCTGCATTTTTCTTTGATTTGGTTAAGAATTTGAAAACGCATATTTAATGTTACAAAATTATTGTAATATGGTATTTACTTGTTATATTTTTAGTATGATTTCATCACTACATTTATTTGCATATTTTTTTGATATTATAATTTTGTTTTTCCAAGTTGTAACATCAAAATGCAAATTGCATGCAACAACAAAGTGTTAAATACAATTTAGAACAACAAGTTACAATCTGCTACAACAATCACAATTTGCAACAGTAAATTACAATGTACAATTTGGAACTGTTGATTTTATTTTTTGTCCCGTTAGTGCTTCGATTGCAGGTTCAGATGTTATTGTTTTCCTCCTCTTTTCCCTTTCTTGGATAATGACTTGTTCTGTTTTTTTACAATAGTTGTTCAACGTTCAACAACATGCTGACTTATGTAAACATGTACGCTACAAATTGATTTTACGTTACCAAACAACAAATGTACGCTACGAATTGCAACATGCAAACTCAAAATAAAAAACAACAATGCTAACTAAGTACAAAGTCATAATACCAAAATAATTAAGCTTATAGTAGCAACAGAACTAAGTGCAAACTCATAATAGCAAAATGGGGACTCAAACTATCACTAATCAAACCTTCAACGCAAACTCTCCACATACTCAATGTGCAACTACAAAATACAGTCTGCTATTTTTTTATTTTAAATTCAATTTACATTTTTTTTTGTTCTTTTTGATTTTATACAAACAACATGCTGCCTTATGCAATTCAAAACATGTTGCCTTATGCAATTTAACACAACTAAGTGCAAATAAAGAAATTGAGTACATGATTTTTTGAAAATGAAAAAAAATGTAGTCTTGAAAGTACCAAAAACAATAAAAATAAAAAAACTTTAGTCTTTGAAGAAAACTTTTACGATGCAGAACTTCAAAACAAACATATTGAAATGCAACTTGCAAACTCATAACAGAGAGTTACAAAAAGTAAACTCAAATCAGTCTAACATCTTAGTGCAAACAACAAACAACACCACTGAAAATTACCCCAACAAAATTCCTAATTCAGATTACATAAGTACCAAAAATCAGCCACAAGATAGCAAAATACAGAATTAGAGTAACAAACTTTAAAGAGCAAAATGCAAACCCAGTTTCAAATTACACATAAAAATTCAGACTCGCATCAAACAAACTTTTATTCTCATGAAATTAAAAATTGTTACTTACAGAAAGGCAGTTACAATTTTTTTTTTATAAAATACGTAACCAAAGTAATAAAATTAACAAACCCCTCAATTTTTATACCTGATTTTGGGGATTTGAAGTCATCATCCTCCTTTGTTGTGAGGGGAAAGAAAAGGGTTATCGAATTAGTATCGAAATATTCGAAATAAAAGGCAAACAACAAAACGGGAAAAAAAAAACAAAAAAAAAATGCAAAATAAAAAAAAAAACAACATGCAAACCCATAATTGAAAAATTCAAAACGCATACACCAATCATTAGACATGGCCACGGGCCGGGTCAGGTCCGGGGTCGGGTCCTACTTTTTTGGGACCCGAAACCGACCCGTGTGGGGCGGGTCCGGATCCGAGTCGGGTCCACTCGGGTTCATCCGGGTCCGGGCCGGGTCCGGGTCCAAAATCGGTTTTTAATTTTTTTTTTAATTTAATTTTATTATTTTCACATATATCAAAAAAAAAAAGAGAGAGAGAGGAAGAAGATAAATTTAAAGGACTTGAGCTTAGTTTTAAATTCAAAATCATAAAATTTTAAATTTAAAACTAAGTTGCCTACGTAGTCGGTACATAATCAAAGTCCACGTAGTTCTCTTACCTTCACTTACCTTTTTAGTCGTCGCTGCCGCCGGGTGAAGTTGTATTCCCACCTTCCGTAGTCGGTTTTGTCGACATGGTCATCTTTGTGTCTGTATTCGATTTTCGTCCAATCTCCCAAAAGCATTTGATTTTCGAAATTGTCGGCACCGAGATTGCTTCTTGTTGGATCCAATACTCTGTTGGGATTCAGGCACGTGTACGCAGCGGAAAACAAAATTTTTATGCGAATTAAACTAGTTTAAATCACATAATCACATGCCCGACATATATTAATCAATTAATTGATTACCTTTGCACTTCCAGCGAAATTTAAAAACAAACATACATGCGAATTATTTAATCGAAATTAAATCAACTAGCATGCTGGCATTAAATCAAATAATCATGCTCGCAGTAAATAATGAATTTCATGTAATCACGTAATATACATAAATTCATACAACATATTTACTATACGAACATGCATATCTAATCTAAATTAAATCGAATCAAACGACAACGGATTCAAAACTTTACCTCTTGAAGCGTGAGGTAGGCGCATGAAACGAAGCAAGATTGCCACGGAAACCAATCCGTGCAATCTGGGGCAGCAACGGCGAAGCGGCAGCGGCGGCGATGCGAGCTACGGTGGCACGTGTGGTTCACGCGCCGTCTTCGGGTGGCGCGTGGAGGCGCGTGCGTTGTCGGCTCGGTGGCTGCTCCTCGATTCTTCGATTCATCAATCTTCCTCCTCTCGGATTTCACCTCATATACTTCGATATACTAAAACGTGGCACTAGACACGCAGTAGTTAGAATAAACGGAAAGAATAAAAAGGAAAAAGATCTACCACGATTAATCGGCCAAGGGGAGGCCGATTCCGGCGGACGAACGACGACGGCGGCGGTGGTGGCCGCGGGGGGAAATCGGCCGAGAGAGAGATGAGAGCGGCTAGGGTTTTAGTAGGTTTTTCTATGTGTGCAAGACCTGTAAATCAAGTATTTATAGTGTCTTGTATAAAAGCCCTAACGGGCTTAAGTTGGACCGAGCCCAACAGCTTAAACTCGTTAGTTCTTTACTCGGTCGTTTCTCTCAATTCAATGATCGGAAAATTGTAACGATTACATTTTCGGAATCATTATAATGTCCTCGTCATTACGAGTGCCAATTCTCAATTTTCAACTTTCTAAAAGTGGAAACCCTAATTCAGTGCACTTTCTAAATTTGGAAACTTCCCGATTTAGAAAGTCCACTAAGATGTTATTCTATACTTTTCCTTTTCTTATTCTCATTCATAATTCCAAATTACGAATGTTGGACCCAATCATATTGACTTCCAATCATGCAAAGATAAAACATTTTTACCTTTGACCGTTCATTCAAAGATCTAATGTGCACGAGCAGTGTGACCCTCGATGGTTCAGGTGTAAGCTAGCCGTGGGCCCACAACCCTTTGTGGTCA